TATAAGGAGTGGCTGCGGTGAAGTGCGCTCGAAGTAGATGTGGACTTAGAGACTTTTAGAAAGAGGGGTAAAGGGTTCCGTGAGAAAATGAAAACACCGTTCTTCGTAAATGGCTTACTTCATGCACGCCTACATATCATGTAAGTGTGACACTGATTTAAAGGGGGAAATTAATTCGAGCAAAAAACGTTTTGACTCTTACTTATTACACGTCAAAGGAATCGACGAAGATGGCTTTGCCGATGTCAGTCAGATTTACCTGTAAGAATATTAAATAAGCAATAGTGACAAAAGTATTGATGACCCAGACGAGGACGACAATGCTGGCATATTCAGCATCGCCAATTAGTGTGCCAGCGATGATGATGACAACCTTGCTGATGAGGGGTGAAATCTTATAGGAGTGCGCGTCAAGAGCACGAGAAAACACACCAGAGATAGCTGGAAACTTCTGTTGACTCAGGAAGCAGTGTTCCAATTCGTACAAGACTTCATCGCTAATGCACTGGACTGGAAAAAACGGAGCGTTTACAACGTGTAATGGCTTTAATTTTTCGATTAATGTTGTTGACCTAGTTCCACTATCTACGTCATATCTAGGTATTTAGAAAGGAACTGATGTGGGTCGTAGTTAATAACTACCCAAGCTCCTCGGCCCATTTCGCATATTAAATCGCAAAGACAATGCGTACACGATCAAGTTTACCCGCAGACTGCGCACACATGAAACGTGTTATGGCGCCTTTTACGCCCCGACAACCGGCATGAGGTCTCTTCCTCGGGCGAATCCACCCGCTACGCTTAAAAATCTTGAGAAGATTTTTTTGATACCATGCAGTTTCTTTTCTTGGCTCTGTAGTGCCGCATGTTGGCGGAGAATGTCGGACACTTCGTTGCGATAGGCGTGACGCTTCTGTCCGTTCTTTAATTAGTGGAATGCTGACTCCGCACGGTCAACCTACCGATAAAGGCAAGGTGTTGCAACGAAAAATATTAAGACACACTCCTGTCTCTCTTACTCGGTTTTATCACACAAATTGCTCGATGGTTAATGCAAACGATCACACTCCATCTGCAACTATCAACCTTTCTTGTAGTAAATATTTCCGCCCCAACCCCAGCTGTTGATTGTAACGGTGTAGCCCGTTACATGAAATTGACACCAAACTTTGTCGATAGAAATACTGTCTAGCATGACAATATTCTACCGATACTATCCGGGATGGGTAATATCGAAGGAATTGTACCTCCTTTGATAGTATTCATGCGCTGCTCCGAGAATGGTTGATAAAAGACGTATCAACCATGGATTACAACCAATCGCTGCTAGACGTACGCTATGAGTGGTGAGCAGGTTGTGGACATACGAAGACGTAGTTTAGTATTGTTAGATAAAGATTAAAGTTACATTGATAGCTTTACCATATTAAATACAGTTCTCTTTTTACCCTTTACTCAGCATAGTCGTTGAGTAGAATAGCTTCCTCTGCACGTACCAGTGTACGTGAAGATTCGTGGCACCCAGACATAGGGTGCCTTGTTACAGTGGTAGACTTGCATTGTGTTCTACTCCTTACGTGAAGCGTTTAAAACCATCGTGACGTGAAGGGACAGCGTACGACTTATGTTATTCTCCGATGCGGCTTTCCGCCTTCGTACGAGAGCTGTGAGACTCACACCCAGCTAATGATTAAAGTTTAGGGTATCATCCACCAATACAACGAGATACATCCGACATATTGGAAGAGACATTAAGAAATGCATACCCATTGCACTGGTAGATCGATTGCAGGTAATCAATCGCATCGCGCGTCTCAGAAGAGATGGGCACCCTACCACAGTGCGAGAAAAGAGAGTACATATTTCTTGAGTTGCGATGCGTGTTTTCGAGCCAACACGGACATGGTTCGCCCTACGTGAGGCGTAAAATATCTGCCTGACGATACAGAGAGTGCGAACTTATTTTGCAACCGTCGAGGTGCGTTTCTAAAAATCTGATGCGAGCTGCGAATTTTTTTGGAGCCAGGGATCACTCCCCAATGTGCTGTACATTGAGTATGCAAGCGCTCCACGCTTGCAGCAACCAGCTTTTCTCTCGTTTGTTGTTGCTTCTTTACCATTGAATCCTAGTAACCATCGTGAAAAATTCTTTTATGGCGCGAAAGTTGATCGCTTAGATGATAAGGCCGTGCAATTATCTTGTATCGATTAGTAAATTCTATGATGTCGATTTGTCTTGTCTAAAACTATCCAAGCGTTTTTGATAATTTTAAATGCTTTCAGGTGCAATACACTGCACATTGCCGCCTAGAGCCTCCCGCGTGGTATCATTGTAAGTGTATTACTACTTTAATCGTCGTTACGGCGCTGCAAAACATCAACGCATTGTCCAGGAGGCGAACACGCAAAATGAGTCAGAACACTCCTCCTCCTAAATTAAGTGGGCTCTTTTAGTAGCAGTGAGCCTTACTACTTTCTCGAGTCCTATTCAAAGCCTTTTAATCGGGCCCCATTTGAGACTCGGTCGATTTGGGGGAATATATTAAGTCGTACCACCGTCCAAATCCCCCGAAATAGATGGGTTTCACTTTGGAGGCATTATGATCATTGGCAAGTGGTGATACACTACGCGCCTCTGCGGCAACTGGTAACGCAAAAAGGGTTGCATTAGCAGCAGAAGAAACTTCGTCTGCCGCGAGAGGCAGGTCTTCGTCAAAATCAGGTGCGTTTACACGCGCAGCTGCCTTCTCAGTAGCTTCGCCTCTCATCGCACAAATTTTGATCGAAGCGATGAAGATCAAAAACGATTGGACCAGACCAGAAAACTTCCCATTATCTCTGATGTGGTTTAATCGGGACCATATTAATATGAAAGGGACTGAGTGAATAATGTTAAGGAGGGGCAATGGCGCTAGCCTGTTACATTTATTTCGCCATGATACATGTTAGTTTCAAAGTGATTTTGTAAAGGTTGATGATGCTTGTGAATACTAACTTTAGGGGTGATATTCCGCAGTACTCGCCGATTGGCTGATGTGGGCCTTTTAGTAGCTAGCTCTAGTGGTCCAAATAACTATAAGTGTGCGCAATGAGTGGTGAGCACAACTTTAGCATACACTTATGTAGATAAAAAAGGTTTGCACTAATATAGGTAAATGTTTTGTTAACTTGAGTAAAAATAAAACAAACGTTTTCTTTCTACTCCCATTAAACGATTCGTTGTTAGCCAGCCTTCATTTAAAATACGGTGTACGTGACGTGACGCGCGTCGCCTCCTTTGCTGTCGCAGTGTACGTGCATCAGTACTGACTCAGTATTAGTGACCAGCGTAATGTAATAAGTCTAACGTAATTGCTAAGGTCCGACACCTGTGTAAACATAGCACCGTCTACTGCTTTTTATGGTCTTGGATAGGTTTGGAAGAATCGAGAAGGACTGGCTGAGAAGAAGCACAGCATGACGTCATCGGGTGACGTCACAAGGAGAGCTTCTTAAACCTTCTGGAAGATCTTGAGAAGATCGAAGGGTGTTGATTGGTCTAGATAAACCAGTGAACCTTCTAGAAGATCTTGAGAAGATCGAAGGGTGTTCATTGGTCTAGCTAAATCAGTGGGACTGATATAGTTTGTCTAAGTATAGGAAATGAGTGGCTTAGAGGTAGCGAAGCAAGTTTGCGAACTAAGGACCATAAATACATTCACTTCACAATTTGCCTTCGCCTGCGCACATCAACATCAACAGATTAACATACGCAACGCGCTCCAAACTGCCAAGCCACCACGTCCACCATGCCAAACAAGCGGTGTGAAGTCCTCCTAGTAAGTGGAAACTACTTCCACTGGGAGTATAACATGCGCATGACGTTGGCGCGCAAGGGGCTGCTGGTGCACGTTCAAGTCATCAAGAAAGAAGAAGAGATGACGGATGCCTTGCTGTTAAACGACGCTAAGGCACTGGGTATCATCGCTCAAGGCATAGAGCTACAGCACCAGACCAAAATACGATCGGCGACGACAGCTATGCACGCGTGGGTCATCTTGAGGGACTTCTACAACCGCACCACGCTCCACAATCGTGTCGAGATGGCACGTCGTCTGCATGAGTTCAAGATGGAGAATGGTTCGACCATGTCGAAGCACTTGAATGCTTGTGACGAGCTTGTTGTCGGCCTCCAGACACTTGGAGAGCCAGTCGATGACTCTCGGCAGCTAGTGGTGCTGCTTAGTAGTCTTCCGACGGACTATGAGCTCATCTCGTCAATTGTGGAGAATTCCAAGGACTTTACGCTCATCGAGGTCAAGGAAAAGCTGCTCAAGGAGCATGAACGATTGCAGAGGAAGGAGACTACGGAGAAGGCGTTTCCTGTAAGCAGCAACGTTAGACGGTTCAAGAAAGGCCAAGGTAACGGCCGCAAGGGAAACTATCTACGGAAAACCAACACCGGAATTAAAGGCAAGTGCTTCAAGTGTGGTCAAGTCGGACACTATAAGCGGGACTGCCTGAAGCGTAGCAATGGCGAGGAAGAAAATGCTGTGTTTGCTGCTGGTGAGTTGCAATGCGAAGAATGGCTTATCGACAGCGGGGCTACGTCGCACATGACACCACACCGGAGCGATCGATTTGAGTACAAGGAGTTAAAGACTGGTCAACAAGTCTCTATCGCTGATGGCAAGAAGCTGCAGGTAGCTGGAGTGGGAACAGTCAAGTTGAAAGGTCTAGACGGTCGACGGATCATGATGGTCGATGTCATGCACATACCAGGACTTGACAAACGATTGCTGTCCGTTGGCAAACAGGCAGGACGAGGCATGAGAGTGGAGTTTCAAAGCTCGTCCTGCATCATTTGGAGTGCCAAGCGCGCGATTGCAAGCGGCTAGAAGATTGGCAAGGCGTACTTCCTAGATTGCGAACAAGAAGAAGCCCGGCTTGTAGAATAAGCAGGGGTTGAAAGTGAGTGGGAGCTTTGGCACGCTCGCTTGGGACACCCCGGAAGATCTGGTATGGACAAGACACAGCGCGCTGCGAGTGGTATGCCGGCGGTAAAGCAGGGCATCGAGAAGCTGTGCAGTGGATGCATGAAGGGCAAGCTGACGATTGATACATTTCCGTCTCAATCGTTAACAAGGATGTCACGTGTGTTGGAACTAGTACACACGGACGTGATGGGACCGATGAAGACGGTCTCAAAGGGTGGTGTACGATTCGTATTGACATTCGTAGACGACTACTCAAGATTTGTGGCAGCGTACTTCATGAAGCACAAGAGCGAGGTGGCCGCAAGGCTTAGCGAGTTCAAGGCTTTCTATGAGAATCAATGGGGCAAGCACTTGAAGTGTATACGGTCGGATAACGGGACGGAGTTTGTCAACAAGAAGATTGCCCATAAATGCGCCCGTAATGGTATCATGCACCAGCGGACAGTACCATATAGTCCGCAACAGAACGGCGTTGCAGAACACATGAATCGCACTATCATGGAGAAGGCAAGGAGCATGCTGTACTACAAGGGTATCGACATGCAGTGGTGGGCAGAGGCGGTCAGTACGGCTGTGTACTTGATCAACAGATCGACAAACTCTGCAAATTCGGACGTAACACCGTTCGAGGTTGGTTTCAAGATGAAGCCGAGTATTGAGCATTTGCGTGTGTTTGGATCGCAAGGGTATACTCACATTGACGACGCCAAGAGGACGAAGCTCGAACCAAAGAGTTACCGGTGTATGTTCCTCGGATATGCGGAGAACACCAAGGGATACAGGGTGTTCAAAAGTTGGAAAGGTCGAAGGTTGTCATATCGCGCTTCGTAAAGCTGGACGAGCGGGAAGTTGAAGGCATATACGACACGGTGGTACCGGATAAAGTACTAGTCGTCAAGTATAATAGGGACACTGATAAAGCAGTGATTCCGGTGGCTCGTCCGTATGATGGAGACGAGATGATGGAAGATGTCGAAGCAAGCGCTCCTGATGTCGAGATGGACGAGATAGAATTGGCTCCATTCGAAACAGGTATCATCATACCTCAATTACTCGATCCAGAAACTCAAGAACCAAGAGGCGATGAGATAACGGGATATCAAGCTCCGAGACAAGCTTTTCAGATGGACAGGTTGGTATGTCAGCCGGAGATAAATCGGACAAGACGCTTACGAGACAGAATGCTGCTGCTTGAAAATGGAAATAGCAGTGAAGACACGTCAGAAGGTAGCGATGGACCACCTTCTCCAAAGAGTGCAAGAATTAATGACGAAGGTCTCATTGCAGAGGCTGTATTAGCCTATGCTGCAAGCGTTGGCGAGGCGGACGACGGTCCATCAGTATACAAGTCCAAGTATCAACGCACGGTGGCTCTAAGCTCTGCTGAGGCAGAGTACATGGCTTTAAGCCTGTGTACACAGGAAGTGTTATGGGTTCGTGCGCTGCTTAAGGATCTAGGTCACGAGCAAGTGGGAGCAACGTGGGTCTGGGAAGATAATCAAGGAGTAATTGTGCTTGCCAGCAATGCCGGCTACATGCCAGAACCAAGCACGTTGACATTCGTCACCACTTCATCCGGGAGAATGTGGCCCACGGTATCATCGTGGTCAAGTACATCTCCACCATGGACCAATTGGCCGACATGCTTACGAAGGCTCTGGGGACCAAGCGACTGAAGTATTTGATACAAGCAAGCTGCATTGGACCCAAGGGCATTTAGCAATAGCGGTGAGTGGGAGTGTTAACATAGCACCGTCTACTGCTTTTTATGGTCTTGGATAGGTTTGGAAGAATCGAGAAGGACTGGATGAGAAGAAGCACAGCATGACGTCATCGGGTGACGTCACAAGGAGAGCTTCTTAAACCTTCTGGAAGATCTTGAGAAGATCGAAGGGTGTTGATTGGTCTAGATAAACCAGTGAACCTTCTAGAAGATCTTGAGAAGATCGAAGGGTGTTCATTGGTCTAGCTAAATCAGTGGGACTGATATAGTTTGTCTAAGTATAGGAAATGAGTGGCTTAGAGGTAGCGAAGCAAGTTTGCGAACTAAGGACCATAAATACATTCACTTCACAATTTGCCTTCGCCTGCGCACATCAACATCAACAACCTGCAATGCTGAAATATCAGGGCAGTATCCGTCTCAATTATTGAAGCTATCCTCGTCAATCTGCACGCACCTACGCTACGGTCAAAATATGAATTCTTTACGCTAATCTAATCTCTTGAATTTTGGACACGTTTTTCACAACAATTTTTGCTGAAGACTTCAGGTCATTTTTAAAGTCCCTTCATTTATCAATGTGAGCATTGCCGTGCCACCGGTTAAGGTCCGTCTTTAAACGCTTTCAATGGTGCTACTGGCTTATAAATTAAAAGAGTGTATTGCGACCAAACCAAGGATGGCGTTTCCGACGAATTTGAGTACCGTTTCATCTATCGGGTAAGTGAATGCGCCAGTCGTATTTACCGATTTTAGGTCCCTGCTACAATGGGCTGACAGCGCCCAGTGGGAGGATACGCGTATTACTTAAAAAAGGTTAAATCATCAGAAAGTGGTTCTCTGCTTGCGCGACCCTTGCAGGCCTCGACGTCGTGCTAGTCATTGGCAGGTAATGTATTATATTTAAGCACCAAACACTTACCTTGTGATTACTAGATTCCTCGAGAACATGGACGGTACGGCCATCGGTTCGTCTTTCAGTACACCGACTTAAGTGGACGAATGTAATCGCTGAATTCGTCGGTTCAGTAAGCGGGTGATACAACGCTAAGCACGGCTCTGGCAATATACAGTCGACTTATATAACGATAATTGCTAAATCGCTCACAAAAGATATTGCTTACATTGATAAACAAGGCAAAAGCACCTTGTGCGTCTTCGTAAAAATATCGTCCGGTCGACAGGTCGCCTCCGTTCGTTTTTTCCGCAGAGTTGTCGACTGGGAACGCGATCGTTGTGATACGAAATATTGTAGCCATGGGCCAGCAATCAAACGCAATATAAATAAAATAAATTGCATTAGAATGGTCGACTGCTATCGGTGGTTTCCATCGAAAGCGAGCCTCTGGCCGGATTGGTAAAGGCCATTTGAAGCTTTGCGCCAATTCCAACCGAGCACTTCCTGTCACAGGAAAATTTAACAGGCTTTTTATCCACAATCATGGACGCGTACGTTCTATCGGCGATCAACGGCCGTAGCTGGTCCCTAAGTTCTAAACAATAACTTAAAAAAAGATTCGCCAGCTTTTCTTGTATTATCTTTTGTTCGGGTCATTAATGAAGGATTAACAGAAACTGGTATCCACGTTTTTTTCTGAAAGCCTTTAATAACCCTTTGCGATAAAAATGAATATTTTGTGGATGCGACGAATTATTGGCCTATTCACTACTTTAGAACAGTCTAATTTTTTGCAAATGCGATGGCAATAATATTTCAACGCGTCCTTTCCAAAAAATATGGGGTTTTTGCGGCAAGGCTTCGTGCACTACACAGATGTTTAAATTAGTGATGATGATGGTCGCGCAGCTTGCTACGGCTGCTGCAGACGTAGCATTGAAAGCATCTAAAAGCTGGGTCTTTCTTTTGCTGGACTTTCGTAAGGCGTACGAGACAGTTGCAAAAACCTTTATCTACGCGACTCTAAAGGGCAATTTGTAGTCAAGTTATGATATGTTCAGCCTATAACTAGGCGGCTATCAAAAATAATGGCTTCATTTGTTCTAAAAAAAGTCAAGTCCAATTCGTTCTCAGTGGTTTCGGGATTTCATCAGTGATGCACGCTCGACTAACTGCTTTTTCGCCTAGTCGTAAAACTTATCATTTCAATTTAGCAAATAATCTTGTAGTGATGCCTTCCTGTCCCAGAGGCAGTAGGGGCCCCGCACATTTTTTCAGACTTTGTCAATCATTTAACAAAATTTATGAAAAGAGGGTCAGCTCGATATGGCGCTGAGACTTGTTTCTTGTTCTTTGAGCCCTGTCCGGTACAGTTTTTCAGTTTGACAAGAGTCAGCTATTCTATCTGAACACGGTTTCGACATAATGCCGGGATATCAGGGCAATCTATTCCTTTAAATTAGGGACACCGAACGGTACTTGGGCTATGAGGTTGGATCGGCGCCTTGCAGCATCGCAATTGGGCGCAAAATACCGGAAAGTTACAACGGCGGTTGTTCGCAGCTTCGAAGATTGCGACCATAATGGAAACTGGGTGCTCGTTCTCAATCCAGTCTCCTGTCCATTCTGTTCACATTAGAATTATTCGTCATTCTGGTATGGGTGCGTCAGAATAATAAGAAATTTGTGCTAACAACTTCGGTGGGCGCAAGCAACGACTTCGGAGGCCGGTACACACAGAACACATTCCTGCCTATTCTACACGCTGGCTTCAGGCTGGCATCGTTTGTGGTTGCCAATTAAATTAAACGTACTGAGCACGCTCGGTAGTGGCTCTTGCAAACCCACGACAATTAATTTGACTCGTGGCATTTCTGGGCCTTTCGAGGTACGCCGACATGTTCTGGAACGATATTGTATGAATGGCATCGGCTTGGAGGTTGGGCAACGTGATTATTCAAGCCATCGAAGAGTTTCTTAATGCGGGATCTTGACCTTCTACGAGAGCCTACGGCCAAACATTTTAATTGCTTTTAGGATAGGTACGTACATTTCGATCTTGCGTACCAGCGTAAATAGCCGATGGGACGAAGCGCATAGGATTCAATCGTATTGTCTGCCTTTTTTAAGCGCCTGCGTCCTCCTACCCTCAATTCAACGCACTTCACCAATTTTAGGGGACGCTGGGATGGTGCCATAATCCGCAACGGAACGATTGGGTCCTGCAGCTACTTCATTCCTCTTACTACCTGATCGTTGCCTGCTCTATATCGGCCTTGCACATCCAACAAACACGGCAGACTGAAATCTCACTTCGCACCGACTAGCGATACGGTACTCTGCAACCCACTCGCAGTCTAAAATATGGGCGTTGGGCTACGGTGATACTGCTAACAAAACCTTTATTTCGGGGTCCGGACTGAACCTGCGCCAGACAATCCATCGGGGCTCCTTATGCGACTACTTGATGGTTTGGGCACGGCTGGTTCAGGGTAAGCGGAGCCACATTGCTGGGAAGAGTACGGGTCCTTGCGGTCAAGTCGGCGAGCGCTTCCTACTTTGCAAAATGTCGATGAGTTAGATGGGTTTTCGCCAGCAAACTGCCGAAGCTGGCTGTGTACTCGGAAGTTGAACATTCAGCTAGAATCACAGCATCTTCCAAGCGGCACGGTGTTTTACGCGCATCCCAGACACCACAGAGTTTTGTTGGCGGTCGCCGACAATGTATCGAACTGTACAATCCGGATAAGAGTTTTACATTGAGCGTTCGGGCTCCACAAACGTCAGCTCGACGGAGCGTTGATTTTATTCAATAGCGATTAGGAACGTCTTTAGTACCGATTCGTGGTAGCGGGCTGTGGCGCATCAGCGCCCGTCCCAAGTTTGGAACACCACGCACATATTTCTTACCGTACATCGGATCTGGACTTGCTATCGAGTAGCTGCCGAGCAACTCAAATTATTTCATAGCAATCGTCACCTAAACAAAAGTTGTTGGGAAGATCTGCGTTGCCATGGAGTTAAAATGTATTGGCTCATTTGATTGAAAATTCCCGCAAGCCCTTGCTTGTTGAGGAATACTGATAGTCCACTAGACAGAGGAAATTGCTGAGCATCTTTGAGTTGCCCGTCGCTTTTTGAAAGCATAAAACGATAGTGCAGCGGGGCTACCACAGCTCTTGATTTGAGGAAGACTTTACGGGTTTATCCAAAGGCTTAAGGCTAACAGCCAATTAGTTTTAAGAAACAAACGTATCAAGTTAAAGAGAGTTGGCTAGTTCTACGGATCTTAGCGCGGACTCTATGAGTTTTTCTAGCTTAGAATAGCGTAGTTCTAAGGAACTACACACACTATGTTCAGAAGGGAATACCTGATTCCAGGGACTTTTTAACCCACGACAGCTTTAAGGTACATTCAAACTCTAGGTTTGAAAGGGGATAGGCTACGGACTTCTGCTCAAAATGAGAACTGAGTTTATTCAGATTTTTCATCAAGGAATATCCTACTTTCAGTGCACTATGATACACTAAATTAGAACTTATACACAAGTCAGTATTCGAGCTAAATGGATGGTAGGCACATCACTCAGTCATGAAAATGATTAAAATACAAAGTACTTCCACGGTAATTACATTAACTCAGAGAATACCGAATGATCGGTATTCTCTAATGATGCAAAATCTGAGGCCACACCTGTCTCCCGTATTACATACGGGAGGGCTTCAAACGATTTAGCCAATGGATAGTGTGACCTCGTTACATTGAAGATCCTTCGATCCTGGTTCGAAAGCGGCTCTGCCGAACAGAACAATTCCATGATGACGCAGATGCCGCTGTCTTCATCTGTAATGGAATTTGGTTAGTGATGAGCAGCATATGTCTGAAATACTTATGGATGAAGCAGAAATACGCGGTATTCAACGAGAAGCAAAGTTTTACTTTGCAAAATCTCCTTCAATACTGAAGAGTGGTAATCCGGCAGCCCACAGCGCTAGAAAAACGCGAGCATAGAGGGATGAATGCAGTCTTTCATGCGGCATTATTGCATGCCGGGCTCGACTTCTTGGCCATAGAACCCTGTGCTCGCTTGGAGACTAT